AATGTTGTGCAGACCAGAAGCAGCTGCAAATTCTCCCTGAACTCTGGCCCTGCCCAGCACTTGAAAAATGCTGCTTTGGCCACAAAGGAATAGATTAACTCAGCACCACTCAAGGGAAAAGCAACTCAAAAGACATTTTTTTTAAATCATAGTGGCTTGGAGTATCATACTTTGCACACTATTTGTTGCATGTTCCTACCTTTACACAAATTGTCTAGTTAATAGCAACTAGGACATTGACAAATGTGCCTCCTTTAAAACAAAGCCAGATTTTAAAAACTTAGTAAGCAGTAACTTTTTTCTTATAGAAAACATTTAAAGAAGCTATTGAGTGAATACCCAGTGAGCACTGAGTTAAACAGCATTTACACAGGCTTTCCACCCAAAGCCATTTTTGGTGTCTCCTCTTTGGGGGACAGATAATTAGAACTAATTGCTATCTTTGTCTCCTGTTTGGGGGACAGATATTTGGAACTAATTGTTATTTTCCATCCCTCCACTTTTCCCACCCAACAGGAAGTCCAGCTGATGCTACCTTCTCGGTATTTTCCATGTCCGTTCACTTCTCTCCACCATCTCACTGTCAGTGTCCCAGCTCAGGTCACAACTTGCCAGGATTTATCTAAACTACCTCCTCAGTGATTCTTCACTTGACAAAATGGCCTTTCATTTTAGAAGAGTCTTTAGTAAGAATGATAAAGTGTTGACAAAGACGAGTGCCAACTCATTTAGTGCATACTGTACACCTGTCACTAGCACTTTACATGCTTTAGCTCATTCAGTCCTTAGTACAATCCTACAAGGCAGTTTTAATTTCTTTCCCCATCCACCAGGGAGAAAACTAAACCCTAGAGAGGTTAAACACCTTGTCTAAAGCTACTTGGCAAGTGGCAGATCCCAGATATGAACTCTCTGTCTCTAAAACTTATGCTCTTAACTACCATGCACTCACTGCCATGTTTGCTGAATTTTCCCTTAAATAGTAAAGCTCCCTTGCAGTATTAAACTATGTTATATTACCCAGCACGATGCTAGCATTAAGAATTCAAAAAGTGGGGCGCCTGGGTGGCTCAGTTGGTTAAGCGACTGCCTTCGGCTCAGGTCATGATCCTGGAGTCCCGGGATCGAGTCCCACATTGGGCTCCCTGCTCGGCGGGGAGCCTGCTTCTCCCTCTGACCCTCCCCCATCTCGTGCTCTCTCTCTCTGTCTCATTCTCTCTCTCAAGTAAATAAATAAAATCTTTAAAAAAAAAAAAAGAATTCAAAGTTTTTTTTTTTAATGGATAGATTCAGGAATACTTACGTAGATGACAAGAAGCTGAAGTATTATTTCACTTATCCCACATCATTATGAAAATTTTTTAGATAAACCAGTTTTCTAGATAACAAATTAAACCATTTAAGGATATAATTATGTTTATTTTGATAAAATCTCTCTGAAATGTATTTCATTCTTTATTGCCTTAGTAATACAACTCTAATTTATTACCCTAATCACAAAGAACTATTGTTATGAGCAACAAATGTTGTATACACTATTTAGTATTTCCTTCTGGATTGTGATTTTATTTTTTTTTAAGACTTTGTTTATTCATTTGACAGGGAGAGAGACAGCGAGAGAGGGAACACAAGCAGGGGGAGTGGGAGAGGGAGAAGCAGGCTTTCCGCTGAGCAGGGAGCCCGATGCGGGGCTCGATCCCAGGACCCTGGGATCATGACCTGAGCTGAAGGCAGACACTTAATGACTGAGCCACCCAGGCGCCCCTGGATTGTAATTTTAATTACCATCTATATGCTGAAGAAGCCCAGATCTTTGTCTCCAACCGGATTTCTCTCCTGACTTTCAGATCCATGTATATCCACACTACCACTTGACCCTGCAAGTTCAGAATGACCCAAAGACCTCCAAATACACCTAGACCCTTAGATCTGCATCTCCAGAATTCCATTTCTTAGTGTAAGTTTCTACTGTCTAGCCATAGGGATAGGCATAATGTTTGACGACTCCTTTTCCTCCACTAATGTTCCCTAATCAGTAAATTAACAAAAGTCCATTTGATTTTACCTTCTAAGTATCTCTCAAATCCATCACACTTCTTTCTCTGTCCATTGCCCTCTCTGGCCACTAGTATCTCTGCCTGGATTGTTGTAACAATCTAAATGGTGCCCCTACCTACAATTCTAACACAATCTAACTAATTCTTCATACCACAATCAGAGTATATTTTTAAAACTAGAAGTCTGGTCATGTCACATCTCAGTTTGAAAACTTTCAGTAGTTCCCCATTGCTCAGGGGATGAGGTTCAAATGTCTTCAATATTGCTTACAAAGCCTTCTGAGACTTCTTGCCTTTCCATATCTTGCCATCCCTTTTAACCTGTCCCTCTCACCGAGCACAACTAGGTCATAGAGAACATTTCCTCTCTACACGCTGTGTATTCTCTTCCTTCTAGGATTTTGCATGTGCTGTCTGGGGAGCCCCTGACCCCTACATCTAAAGTATGCGTCTCTCATGCTCACGATCACAGCAGCTGTTTCCACTTGTAATATTGTGGTTAAGTACCCATTTGTTTCTATCATCTTCTCTTCTCTCTCCCTCAAGGAGACGGATGGAACCCATGCCCACCTGTTCAACCTGTATCCCTAGCACCTAACTTTGTGTCTAGAGCAGAGTAGGCACTAACATTTCTTTTATATTTTAGTATAGTTTTAGATTTAGAGAAAAGTTACAAAGACAACACAAAGAGTTCCCTCACACTGGCACCCAGTTTTCCCTATTGTCAACATCTTACATTAATGTGATACATTTGTCACAACGAATGGACCAAAGTTAATACCTAATTATTAACTAAAGCCAGGCTATTCAGATTTCCTTAGTTTTGTTTTTTTTTTTTTTAAGTTTACTTATTTTTTAGTAAACTCTACACCCGGTGTGGGGCTTGAACTCATAATCTCTAAGATCAAGCATCACATGCTCCTCCAACTTAGCCAGCCAGGTGCCCCCAGATTTCCTTAGTTTTTAACCTAATGTCCTTTTTCTGTTTCAGGATCCCTTCCAGGATACCACATTCTATTTAGTATCCGTGTCTCCTTAGGTACCTCTTGGCCTTGACAGTTTCTCAGACTTCCCTTCTTTTTGATGATCTTGAGAGTTATAAGGAGTACTGATTGAGTATTTTGTGGAGTATTCCTCAATAAGAATTTGTCTGATGTTTTTCTCATGATTAGACCAGGTTATGAGTTTGGAGGAGGAAGACCGCAGAGGTTAAGTGCCATTTAGATCACCTCATATCAAGGGTACAGAGTGTCAACATGACTTACCACTGTGATGTTAACTTGATCACCTAGCTGAGGTAGTATTTGCCAGGTTTCTCTAGTGCAGGGGTACTAATTTCCCCCCTTTCCATTTTGTACTCAGGAAGTCACTACACTATGTCCAGTCCACATTCAAGGGGTTAGGAGTTAAGCTCCACCTCCTTGAGGGCAGAGTATCCACATAAATTATTTGGAATTCATTTGTACTAGAGACTTATATATTCTTTATTTATTTATATCAATATGCAATCATGGATATTTATTTTCTACTTTGGGCAATAATCCAATACTACTTTATTTTGTTACTTAAATAGTTCCAGCTTTGTCCATTGGGAACTTTTTCTGTTGGCTCATGTGTTTATTTGACATATCCTTGATTGTCTGTCTTTCAAGCACTCCCTTACCTTCTGGCACAAGACACTTCAGGCTCACCTTGTGTACTCCCTGCCCCTGCCCTAGAATCAGCCATTTCTCCAAGGAGCGCTGGTTCCCTTAATTGTAAACTGTATTCAAAACCACGATCTGGGCTCTGGGTAGGTACTAACACTTTTTAATACAAAACCAGATTCATTTTTAAAAGCCACAAAAGCACAAATACTAATGTATCTTCCCACCACCCAAAATAAGTAGATGTTTTTTCCCTTTGTTTTGCTTCAGATATATGTTAAGAAATAAAACACGAAATCAAAGGCCAGTTTTCCCCAGTGGCCTTTTCCCCAGTCCTAACCCCTTCCCTCGCCACCCAGAAGCAACCACAATCTTAAGTTGAGGTGTAGATCTCTTTTTCAAGCATTCATGGAACAGTTACAGAAGCATATGTATTAAAGGAAAAACCTGGCTTTTATTTGGGCTGAGCTGCCCACCTTCTTGGGCTGTTCTGGTTGGTAGTGGTGAGTGTGCGCCGAGTCACGTGTCCGCACTTACAGCCCTCGCCCCGCTCTTACATGCTGGGGCTGCGTTCATCTCTTCTCTCAGTCACCTCCAGCCACTCTCTCTTCTCTGGTCTGTATACCTTTCCATCTCGCCCCAACTTGCTGCTTTATAGGCAGCTTCTGGCAACCTCCCTGTCAGGAGGAAGAAGACCAATAGCCCGTAGACTTTGCGGAAGCAAACTATAAACCAGAAAGTGCTAGGCAAATGGAAAATTTTACTGTTTTGTTCAAAGTGCCAAAAGGGGAGGGGAGTGGGGGCATAACATTCATTTGTATGAAGTACTTGGCTCTTTAACATCTAATTTTTAGCTTAAAGACATTACCAGTTGCTTCTAGTTACTTTTGAGCTGTAATTCTGTAAAGTTGAGGCTGCCAGATCTAAGGCCACCAGATATCTAGAAATTAGGACAGTTAATTTCATGATTCTCCATTTCTATTTTTCTTACAAATACTGTTCTTCAAAATATAGGAATAATACCCAAAACAGAGAAAACCCTTACTATTGAAGAGGTTGCTTATGAAACGAATTCTTTCTCCAGCAAGGGACCTACAATGAAAGACTAATTATGTAACTATAAAGTGAAAGCCTTTGGCTCTAATCTCCATCCACCGAATTGCAGTGCTATGTGAGCAGTTTAGTTGATCATGTTCTGGGTGCATAGCACATTATCTGCTTATTAAGGTAAGCAGTAATCTTGGGTTTGGGATTTCTAGCCCCATTAATAGTAAATATATTAAATTTCTTCCCACAGCTTACACTTACTCTGACAAAGGCAAGTTTGGAAGCAATTACTTGGGGACAGTTTGGATAACACCTAGATAATCAAAACGGGCACAATGAAGCACTTCCTGAGGTAAGTATTTATGGCCTGCTTGAGCCCTCTAAAATGGAGACACTTCCTTCCAAATTAGGAAAATAGTTCTCTGTTCACCATTTGTAATCCTATAACCAGATCTCTTAGGATTGCATAAAATAGCATTTTACTTTAGCTAAGAATAATTTGGTCACAAGTTTCCTCTGCTGCCCTATCTGAATACTGATGCTAAGAGAGCACTTACCTGTAGGAGATTATAAGAGAGCACAGGCACAAAAGCAAGGAGCAGGTGTACTTTGGACAACCTGGATGCCATGTGTCTCTAAAGCCTTAAGGCTGAGGTTTGAGGAATCAGTAAGTAGTTAAGGAATCAGTATAACTGTGTGGAATCATTTTCCTGAAAAAAGTAATTTTAAATATTCCTTAATTTAGATTTTGGTTAGCTGGCTATTCATACAGGCATTTTCAAACATTCCTTCTTGCTAAAAAAATATATATATATATGCATATAAAACATACATATATACACATATATATATAATATACGCATTCTAAGCTTTTGCTCTTCCTGCCTCCTTGATGCGTCTGAACTCTGCATTGTTGGTTCCCTCAAGATTGTGCTGTATAGAGTAACATATATGCTGGTGTGTTCCGTAGTGATATTGTACTGTTCTGAAAGCCATTTGGCTAGACCTATAATTATAATTATTTTTAAGAGTATTTAACAGCCATTCACAATCCATTAATGAAATTCCCAGAGAAATTTTACATCATATTAAAATACGACAAAATAGAGTTATTCTGGTCCCGAAAGTTAGAAAATAATACGTACTTTCCAGAATATTAAGTTTCTTTTCCTCAAGATAGCCTACCTCTATTACACATTCCTGCCCCTTGCTCTGGCTGTTTTCTCTAAGCAAATAATTAGTGGGCTCACTTCTTTTAGGAAATGATTTCGTTCTTTTAGTGGCTTCCATTTAAGATTTTCTTTCCCTCACTGATTTTGATTGCATCACTGTGTCTGGAACACCTAGATCAGTTTGTGTGGGATTCACTGTGTTTTGGTGGGGCTACTGGTCTTAGAATTATGGAAACCTCTCAGGAGGTCACTGTTAAACCGTTTACAGGCATTAGCTTTGGTTTTATTGTACAGAATACTCCTCAGCCTGTTTATCTCAGCTGTGTAAAAGGGTAGTATTTGAAAAATCACTAGGACATATGCCAGCAAAGTACTGACCTGACATGACTGTGGTTGCCATGGTAATTAACCCATCTACTTACACATTCTATTTATGAATCCCTCCTGAACGTAAACATGGTGTCTTTTAGTTGCAGAAGGTTTTAGTGTTAGATGAAGCTTAGAGGTCAGGAGCTCCTTTTGAAAAGGGGGAGATGGTAGTGGTGAAGTCTGGAGCAAGATTCGTCTACTGGATTTCTTCTTCAGAGTCTTCATGTAGAAAAACTTGAGCAGCCTTACAACCAGCCATTTTAGGAGAAATAGTAGCATTTGTTTCTGTTAGTCTTCTGGTAAGCTGAATAGCTACAACACTGTGTCTAGTACAGATGAGAACATTTTTGGAATTAATTTGTATTTGGGACTGAGAACTAGTCTGGTAAAAACCTGCTGTGACTTCACACAGGCTAGCACCAAGAAGAACAGAACCAGCATATCCCAGTCAGTTCCATGTTCTGATACAAATCCTTCTCTTTCAACTCGAGACATATGTTTTATAAATATTACTTGACATTGATCATTTATATGAAATGGAAGCTAGGGTAACAGATTACATATCAAGAAAGAAACTTGAGGATTTTCATTGACCACTGGTTTTGAAATAATAAAAGGAAACTCAATCACTGCCCCAAGCTGATTATTGCTTTGGCTTTAGTTTGTGTTTTTAATGCTTTTTTATTGTTATAATGTGTGTGTATTCATTATATGTTGGTGTTTTAATGCTTTTTATTAAGTTATAATGTACGTATTCACTATATGTTGGGGTTTATGGAATCGGAAGGATAAGAGGGCAAGGAGAATTACCCTGAATTACAAGCTCTATCGGGTTATTTAAGATTACCTTTTTTCCCCTGTAGTCCCTTTGCACAGATGTGGGACAATTTCGGCAATCTTTTGATTGAATCAAATCTTTTGATTGATTTGAACCAAAGAGGAGGCTATGTAAACACAGCCTGAACAAATTAGGTGTTTATTCCTGAGCTCAGCAAATACATTATGCAGAAAAAGGAGTTGATTCTGAGAAGAATTCAGTATTATTTAAAAGCCCACAGAGTGGTTAAAATCGGTCAGCCTCTGAGTTGCTCTAGAATGAAGTGCTTCATGTATAGCTCCAGCAGAAATGAGGTTAATCTTAAACCAAGTTGGGGTAAAGAATGGATTTTTTTTTATAAAGATTTTATTTATTTATTTGAGACAGAGAGAATGAGAGAGACAGAGAGCACATGAGAGGGGGGAGGGTCAGAGGGAGAAGGAGGCTCCTTGCCGAGCAGGGAGCCCGATGCGGGACTCGATCCAGGGACTCCAGGATCATGACCTGAGCCGAAGGCAGTCGCTTAACCAACTGAGCCACCCAGGCGCCCCTAAAGAATGGATTTTAATCCACAGTTAAGTGACATGATACCCACACTCCACTCTTTCTAGCTCACTGCTGCCATCAGTGTGACTGTCACCAAGTGTATCAATGGTGTAACTGTTCAGAGCATAGCAGGGTAGAGAAAATATTTGATTAAAAAAACATTACATGAAATATTAGAAATAACTGCCACAGGATTAGTACACCTAGCTGATGGGTATATTTGAAATGGAGAGTAGATATAAGATACTGGATAAGTAACCTGTAGTCATTCAATGACTTTAGCCATGGTCTGCATTAAGGGAATACAAAGATAAAATGCAGAAGAAAGTGAATTTATGGGGGCGCCTGGGTGGCTCAGTTGGTTGAGCGACTGCCTTCGGCTCAGGTCATGATCCTGGAGTCCCAGGATCGAGTCCCGCATCGGGCTCCCTGCTCGGCAGGGAGTCTGCTTCTCCCTCTGACCCTCCTCCCTCTCATTCTCTCTGTCTCAAATAAATAAATAAAAATCTTTAAAAAAAGAAAGTGAATTTATGTAGATGATCAGAAAAAGAGGGGGAACTTTTTGAGCCCCAAATAGAACTGAGGCTTAGGGTTTAGTTTATATATTTTATTAATTTTAATTAAGTTGATGTATATAATAGGGATGGCTTAAAACTTGTACTAAGATCTTTTCCCATGCTAGGATTTTTTATTGAAATTGTATTTTTTACAGTTATCAGTACATTATGAAATTTTCTAATAAAGGGAATCTTTTAAGTCACTCCATGTAAATAATTGCTTCCAACTGTCCTAGTCTTGGGATCTCACTTTCTTGGCCATGGACTTCACTGCATACCTTTTTCCCTTAGGCAGAAGAGCAGGAAGGAAAGCATCTGTCACACTCACACCTCCTTGGGAGAAATTTTGAGAAATAGAACAAATTTATACCCAAGTGCTGGCTATAAAGCAGTGAAGGCGGGGGAGAAAGTATTTTACTGCTATCATTAGATAAATAAAGGCTTCCAACTAACAAAAATATCTGTAAATTGGTTTTTTAAAACATTCACACTTGATTAATATCTCGGTCCACTGATTCATTTAGTAGGCACTTACTGCTAATAATTCTAGTAGTATCCCACATTCTTAATTTTTATTTTCTCTTTATAACAATTGTAACAAAGTAGGGATTACTATCCCTTTGTACAGAGCAAAGCAAGAAGGCTTAGCAAAGTTAAATAACTCATCCAGGGGCACACAGATATTTGAAGGCAGGCCTGTCTGCCTTCAGAGATGTTTCTCATCATTTCTGCACCATGTTACCTCCTCACTCTGTGCCTGTTGTGAGGTGTTGTAGGTGACACAAAAGCGAGTATGTGGGGACCTCTGCTCCAAACCTACCACGTGCTACAGAGATGAGGCACACACATATAAAACTCTGATATAAGTAGGAATGTGCTCACTAATGTGCCACAGGCATTTTGTGGCAGGAATTTTCAGGGAAGGCTTCACTGAGGTGAGGCTGAGGGAAAGGAAGGACTAGAAGTTAGTATTTTTAATGAAGGACAGAGGGTGTGGGAGGTGGAGCAGACGCTGGGAAGGAAAAAGGGCTGAGAAAGTGTGACCAGCTGCCACAAGCAGCAGGTGGTCCAGGTTTATTGGCTGTAGACCCTTTTTAGGGTGAGTAGAAGAGAAGCGGCAAAGATAAACTTGGGGCAGTTCTCGGAGACCTTTGCAGGCCGGGCGTAACACAGCCCAGGAGCATGGTAACCTTTTCAGCCAGACCTACAGTGGGACTTGAAGAGAAGGGAGAGTCCGATGAAAACTCTTTTTGCCTTGCGACACATGTCTAGCCTTCTCTCAGAGCCAGAAAGCTAGCCCATTCCCTTCACCTGACGAATGAGAGGGCAGAGACCCAGAGAAGCAAAGTATCTTGTCCGAAGTCACATAGTTCAATAGTGGCAAATCGAGGCTAGAATGGAAGTCAGGCTTCCAGACACTTCCCTACTTAATCAAGCGGTATTTCCACTCAGCACCAACCCATTCCCACTACTTGTAAAGGGCAGAAGGTGTGTACAGTCATGCATGTAGTTGTTCCAGAATTTGGTTAACTTTGCTTGAAACAATGACTGAGCTTAGGAAATACAGAGGCGGAGTCCTGAAAAGGGGAAGGTTTATGGCCTGAGCATCCAAATACCTCTCTCACTGGAGACCGGTACTTTTAGCCATAGTTTTCTCTTTCTTAGGACACACACACACACGTGCATGTTGATCATATATGTATATACATACATGTGCACACACACGTACACATGTATGTATATCTACACATACATATATTTTAAATCATCTTGTTCCCTGCATTCAAATAAAACAACAACAAAAAACTGTTTCCGTATCCTTGTTGAAATATGTTAACCTAAAAAGTTTTCTAGGCAGTTTCCTGTGGGTGGCCTCACCATCTAGCTGTGT